TGGGGGATCGAAAGAGGGTGGTCACTTGAACAAAACCCGATAACCTAACCTAACCTAACCTACCCTATTGATAAAGATATTTAAATAATGTTTTGTATAACTTTCTCAATATTTTTATGTATTTTTCATTAGTTTTACCTTTGAATATTGTTTAAGAATGACTATATAAATATTTACATGCCTAGAAATGTATAAAAACTGGCATATTTATTAACTTTGAACCCCCATAACCTTTTAAGGGGATGAGACTGCCACGAACTTTTTATGGTACAGTGATGGGGGAGACCTCCTCGTTCGATCCCCCCCACCCCCTTGGCGTTATCTAGACCTTTACCAAAAAGGCTACTAAAAAGCTTGTAGGATGTCTGTATCTATCTACTGAAACTAGAACTGCTTTTCTGCTAGTAGGGAGTCAAATATTATCTTTAGAACTACCTACATTAAGGCTAAAGACCAATAACAATTACTATGACGAATTTGGTGAAGCAAAGATTACTAGATTGCAAGAAAATTTTAACATAACAATTAAAACTTTGTCAAGAAAAATTACAATTGCACTCAATAACTGTTTTTCAATTAATGTTTTTTTTTATATTTTACTTATAAACATTGTAAGGAGGCACATACTGTTTTTAATTTTTTGTGGAATACTTTTTACTAATGTATTTTATAATAGTAAGGTAGACGTATTCTTATCAACTTACTTGCGCCCTTCCACCAGTCCATTGACCAACTCCTTTCGCAACATGGGTTATATTTTTACCAGCTTGCAACAAAACCTCTTGAATTTCTTCCAATGTTGGTTGAACTATAACTCTGGGTATATAAAGGCTGGCATTTAAGATGAATAGTGGAGAATTATTCTCTAAAATGCATAGTTGATTTTCAGGACGATAGTCCTTATAATGAATTTATTCTATCAAAAATTCATTCATGAAATTATTACTTTCAACTGATTTCAAAAAAATCTAATAAAATTCCTAATTGGACTGTATTTTTCTAATAGTTTTTTATTGGATAGGCTATATCTCAAGGGTGAAAAATTGGGGGACGATTTTCGTTATTAACACTTAAGTTTTATGTTGCCTAAGCATTGCAATCGGTTTTTATTCGTAAGAGTCCTTTAGAAATTTTACATTTCTCTGTCGGCAGTTTGTCTCTCGTATTTTTTCCGAGCCGAACTCTCAAAATCTTTAGAACAAAGCGTATCATCCCCCCAAATCTTGCAATCGTGGTTATTGGACTGACATTGCTATATTATTTATATGAAAAGATGACTGAAAGTATCAAGTGGTTGTTTTTATTCATCATAAGGTCACCAGTCCTAAGACTGATTGGACACGTACCTCCACTCTTTCCTATCCTGAGCTAAACTTCGCATTTCCCTAAAATTAGAACAGCCCACATCCTTAACTATTTGCGAACAGTAATCTAATCTGGGTCTACCTCTACCCCTCTTAACTCCTGTTTCTGCCTCTAATATGTCTCTGACTAGACCTTCATGTCTGAGAAGGTGTCCTATCAACCTATCTCGCCATTTTTTATTGATTTCCATAGAGTCCTCTGTTCTCCTATTCTTTCCAATACCTCTTCATTTCTAACCTTTTCTTNGAAGGTGTCCTACCAACATATCTCGCCTATTTTTTATTGACTTCCATAGAGTCCTCTGTTCTCCTATTCTTTCCAATACCTCTTCATTTCTAACCTTTTCTACCCACGTTATCATTTATTAAAAGGATTAATTGAAGAAAACGAATCATATCGTAGATAAGAACATTGACTTAAAATAATTAATTGTCGCAAAGATACCAAAGAAACAAACAAATAAATCCTAAATATTCGTTTTTGTTACCGTTTTCAAGTCTTGCAAACATGTGGACAACATGGACAGCATTTTTCCAACTTCCTTGCTTTCCATAACGAAATTATAGAAGTTTTTCTGTTGAAACTGGATGACGGGTTTTTCCTCGGTGGTGAGTCTGTACAACCGTCTCCTTCTGGTTCGCAAGTCCTCTTCCTTGACGACGCTTCCCACCTTGGCACCTGACTGTTTTGCGTAACGAGATACAATATCCACGAGGTTTTTAGATCGGCCGGTTATTTTTTTCCAACCTGTTTTTTTCTTTTGTGGTGTCTTACGGTATTTTGTTTATGTACAGTACAATATTTAGTGCAGTGTTTGTGTTAATTACAGTGTTGTACAGTATCGCAGTATCAATACAAGGTAAGTGAAGAAAAATACATCAGGGTAGTGAGTTGATATAATATGTACGGTATGGTAAATGATACAGGGAGAAATTTGTGTTTGTTGGTAAGGGTGGGTGTAAAGTTGAGAGTAGAAGAGTGAAAGAGAAAGAGAAAAACACTAAATTAGCAATTTTTATTTGCTTTACTTAATAAAAAAAGGCGGTAAATGTCTAGGTGATGGCCCTCTCCCCCTAAGGGGGTGGGGATGGGTGGGATCGAAAGAGGAGGTCTCCCCCATCAGTGTACCATAAAAAGTTCGTGGCGGTCTCACCCCCATAAAAAGTTATAGGGGTTAGATGGGGTGGGGGTAGGGAGGATCGAAAGTGGGTAGGGGGGATCGAAAGAGGGTAGGGGGGATCGAAAGAGGGTAGGGGGGATCGAAAGAGGGTGGTCGCCTGAGTAAAACTTCATAAAAAGTTTGCTGCAGTCTCACCCNACCAAACAATAAAAATAATGCAACAAAAAATCACTTTAAATGTTCCCTTTTAACAAATATTGTTCTGTATGAGTTAATTAGACGGAAACAATCATCATACTAAATAATTAACACGACGAAATCATAATTTTATATTTTCTTTAAGGGCGCGTAAACAATACTCATTTATAACAAAACATAAAATATATTTTTGGACTAAGCTGATAATATCGTTCGAAAATATCTTTGAGCGCTTATTATTAAGTTCAGATTACCTGAAGGAATAAATCTTCTTCGAAGTCCATCTAACGATTGTCTTGATACGCGAACTAAAACATCAATTATTTTGCGGCTGTAGTACCGCCTCATTTCTCCAATTGCTCCTTTGACCATATCTTGCATTGGTTTAGACAGGGAATTTCCCAAGAGGATGTAAGGCTTCTCAAAACATTCCCAAATCAAACTCCAATCTGTCTGTTGTTGATTAGCCAAGCTCTCAGCATCTACACCTGTTTTCTGGCCTTCTTCTAAAGTTTGGCGAAACGTAATATTTAGATTTTTAATTGTATAGAAAGCAATGTGCACAGTTAAATAACAGATCGCTCTCTCTATGATGAATAACTGATAATTAATTGGATCTCCAAACAGCAGATCTGAAGACTGAAGACTGAATTTAACTCATTTACGCATGGACCTAACCAATCAGCTAACTATGAGCCATTCTATCAACAAAATACTCAATAAAAAAAATAGAATGAAATCAAAAGTTCGCCTGTTGACACCTCCAGACATGTGAAAGGCAATGCCACTTTGGAATCTTGGCGATCATATCCAATTAATTATCAATTGCACATTTGTGTTTTGATCGATTTGATATCATTTGAATTAGAAACAAATGAGTTATTTGAATTTAAAATCGCCCATTTTTTTTTTATTTGTAATCCTCTGTTTGTAATTCTTGCATTGTAGTTATTAATTTTTTACCTTCGCGAAATATTTCGTAATTGTCATACAGTCCTTCTTCTTGCGATTTTCTTACCAACGCCAAAATTTCTTCGACTGCTTCTTCAACCATCAAACTTTTACGGTGCAGTTCCTCGGCCCCTGACCTGCAATTTTTCTGAATTTGGTCCGTAAAATATTCAACAGTCCAAGGCTCATCGTTTTCTTCGGGTAAAGAATGCAGAGTGACAGTTTGCATGCTCGTCAACACCTCTACTATTCGGTTTTCATATATGTCCTGAACTCTGTTTACCTTCAAAGAAACAATTACTCAAATAACTCATTGGTTTCTCACATTAAATCATACCAAATCGATCGAAAAACAATGCTCCCTTTGGTGTGTAATTGATAACCTTTGGCGTAAAATTAATAATTAATTAATTAATTGAATATAAACATCCAAAGTTTGATCTAACTTTGAATCATTGGGTCTCTTGTTTGGCGTCCCATAATTAATTGCCAATTACATGTAAAAGACAGCATTGTTTTGGTCGATCTATTTGCAGTATTATTTGATGAGACGACTAGAAACCACAAAATTATTTGACTTTGAAATCACGTATTTTCTCATCCCCTGTAGCAGAATTCTTACACTGAGGTTGAGATACTGATCTCTTATTCATAAAATTTGGCAAGCTAATTGAAATAAGTAGTAAGCTTGCAGGAGGTGATATGACCCCATAAACCAAGAAAATTAAGTAAATGTTCGGTGGTTCGAAAGTCCACCGTTTTCGAGAAAAACGTATCTGTATGTACAGTCCGGCCCTGGTACGATCACCCAGGAAAATACGACACCGCAACGCAGCATTCAATCAGAAGCTAGTTAGCGCATCCGTGTTATATTCCTTCTGTATTTTTGTACTCATGTATTGTTTGTTATTTGTTAGATTAGATTAAGTATGAATGATGATGTTTATATTTACGGTCAGCCTAGAGAAGTTCTAGGTTTTTTTTAACGTAGTAGGCATATATTACATATGTAGATATTTGAAGTTGTTAGAAGTAGATCAACATGTAAGTGTCATAGGTTAATGATTTGTATAGATAACGCACTTTGCAAGTACCTCAATGGTGGTTTGGAAAATGAATAGAATTACTAATCCACAGGATATTAATTTACCTGTTAAAGTTTATATAACGTTATTTTTTTCTTTCTTTTATGTCCTTAATACCATGCCGAGGTGTACTTTAAATAGTACTGCACACTATCAGCAATTAACAAAGTAGTTTTTTAATTAATTTTTATCGCATTGAGTATCTAAAGATTATTATGTGTAATAACGTAGTAGTAAGCTGTTGATATTTACTTTACAACTCGTTCCAGAACCGGAACTATTTACATCTTTCATCGATGTAGCTACTTAGTTGTCAATTCACGACCAGGGCCGGCTTCGAATCGCAATTTCGTCTGATTCTCTTTCAATTTTGTTTGTCCCTTAACTAACTATGAAATTCCCTATTGCATCTTGTTAATACCCTCCACAGCTATCTATTTATTTCAGAAACACCCTATCCGAACACTATGAATCCAAATCATATCGGAAAGTAATAGTCGTATACCATGGAATCAATTTGATCCGATCATAAAAAAATAGTTAATTCCTTACCAAAACTTGAAATTCACCGATAGCTTCGTTCATATCATCCACAAATTCCTTCCACTCGGCCGAAACCCAAGTGAGCTCTTTCAACCCAGGTGTCAACATGTTGGTTATCTTCAACAAATGGGGAAGAAACAGTGGACGAACTTCATATTTAACACTTCGTACAGCACTCATAAACTTGTTCAGCATCGCCTGTAGGAACGTACATAAATAATTAATGTAACACCGGCTATTTACCTTCTACTACACCTGCAATGAATCTTGGACTAAAGTGAATCTATCTTGTTTTGTAAAAAGTGTTAATGCAACAATTGGACTTGGCAGATCCATCTTACACATTAGCTCACATTCTCTTATCAAAAGTGGTATACTTCTGTGTAAATTCACCTTTAATTTTTGCTGTTCTGAGTCAATAGCTATCAGATATTTTCGTAAGCAGCCATCAACATCCCACACCTAAAAGTGTCAATATCGTTTACTTAATCATGTTCCAGATATATGCTTTGAATATTAAATTATATTATTTGATTCTATAGGGTGCTCCTTTCAACTGCGAGTGGGGATTCTTCCAAATTCGAGAAGATTGAATTGTAAGAATTTCACGGTTTTCCAGTAATTTTGACTTCTTTTAAATAGGCAAAGGAAAAGAAGGATTTATTTAATTATTGCATTTTGTGGTTAATATTATAAAATATTTGTGCTATCAAACGTGCTTTACAATAAATAAAAACTGATACGACTCTTTTTTCTCTTTTAAAATGTTAAATTTGAATGCCGTGAAGCTTTTACAAAACATAGTTCTCAATCTTCTGTTCTGGGGGGAATGAAGCTTCATACGCATGGGAAAGGTTATGCAATATTTACAGAACACCCTGTATATATATAAAGTAGACAAAATGATGTCAATAACAATTTAACTAATTACATGCTGATCCATCCAAATGGCTACCATGTCCTGTTGGTATGTTTTAAGCATATTTTCGGCAGCTTTATGCTTTCTTGCTAATTCCACTGTACGTGGTAAATTTTTTAGTATATGGTGCGTGAGCACATTTTCGAGGATTTCTTGAAGATGATTTACTAATCCTTTTGCCCATTTTATTCGACCTAGAGGAATGAGTTACTAATTTAGTTATTTTTTTCCTTAATGGTATTGATATCACCAATTTTACGTATCGTACGAAAATTTATGAAGTAAAATTAAATTATAGACGGATTATAGGTATTAGAAAATCATTGGACTGTTATTTAATTCAACATAAGTACTTTCTGTAGCGATGTGACCTTCAATTTGACCGGTGCAAAGTAGAAAAGAACAGCACTAGGCCAGAAAAGGAAGGAGACAACTCTCGGCCAACATCTTAACCGGTGAGGAGCGTATAATCCGTACAGTGCTGCACGGAAAAATTGACCATTTTATCCACTACAATTGCATTGCTCAAATGTACTGTTACTGGTAAAAATTACTACTGAAAATATCAAGATGTTTATTTATATTTGAAGACATATTAAAGGCTTTAACGCTTATTTTCGATTCGCAGTACTATTCATGATTGAACAAAACTTTTGGCAGGTACTGCAGTATGTTTAATGAATAAGAGTCGAGAGTTTAATGAGCTTTTTTCCTCTACCTACGATTTTGCCAGCGCGCATCCAAGACATTGGAAGGGGTACATCGCTACAGAAAGTAAATGAAGTATACCTGCAATTGGTGGAAACATTCTAGGTACTGGAGGATCAGTTCTTTGCTTCTTGAATAACTTTACAACGTGCTCTACTTCACCCTCACAGTACTTCAAAATCCTATCGTACTTATCTTCCAATCGTGTTAGAGGGATTTTATCACTCACCTACGAAAACAATTAACGTTCGTATTAATTTTTCTGTAAGTTTGATTTTCAAGTAAGTAAAGTAATTGCCTACTTTTTCAAATCTTATTAAAAATTTAATTCCTTGCGGAGTTTCCCAAACGCTTTCAAAATTCTCTTCTATCATATTCCCCATTCTCTCTTTGAGATTGTCGGTTAATCTAATAAAGGTTTGATAATCAGTTTCGAACTCCACATTACGATGTTCTAAGTAGTTGTAGTTCTTGTTGACAATGTTTGATTTGGCTTCGTCAAAGCTCTGTGTGGCTTCTTCCAAAGCTAAATTATTTTCACGAAAAAGGTGTAATCAGTAGAATTATAGCATAGGCTTACCGTAGATCGGGGCTTTTCTTATCATAAATAATAAATTATTTCGCCAAGCAAAAATAAACCAAATCTTTTCACGTATGTTTCAATGGCACAAGAAGATGAAACCAAATTAAAAATAATCAAAATAAACAATATTGTTAAGTCTTTAATCTTAACTTTAATTGTAGCACAAAAACAAGACTTTTAATGTTGGTCTTGAAGCTGTGCGAATGTAAGAGTCAAACTTAGTGGCGCTCAACAAATTGTTGATCTCGTTTTTGTATAAGAACACATTAATATTGACTGTTTCTTGGTAAATATTTAAAACGAGTTAACACTCACAAACTCAATCCAAATCTTTAATGAATTGACCTTTTTACCTTCTCCCAATAATAATCCTTCCATTCTTCGCTTAAATAGGGTTGTGTAGTCGTCAATTAGATCAAAAACATTAATGATTTTGCCCAAACGAATGCAAAAGGCATCGAATTTTCCGAAGATGTAATTTTCAGAAAAATTAAAGGGCTCTTGTTCAGTTATAAACGGCTGATTTCTGATAACAAGGTAAGTCCTGTGATAGACGTTGTTGAGGCTGATGCAATGGTACAATTTTTCTTTGACTTTCGTCCTATCCTGAGACCAAATTGTTTCTTTTCCTCGGCAAGTAATATATTCTTTACACGTTTCTATCATTTGATTTGTGATCTACAATTAAACTAAAGTCAATAATTGAATTCAAACAAATGTACATATAAGAAAAGATTAAGTTTTTTGTCAGTAAGTGTCGATCTCGTTTTCGATATAATTTGATCTTATTAGCACATTAGAAGCAGTTAGCAGCAGATATCACTAGATGGCAACAAACATTTAATTTTTATCCACTTAATTTCCTCCAATAAATAAAAAAAATTGTTGTTGCTGTCACATCGTCGCCGGGAATTGAACCCGGTGCGTAAAGTAAAAGATCTAGGATTCGGTTCCCGGCAAGGATGTGACAGCAACAAAATTTTTTCCTCATTATTTTGTAGTGGATATATATTAGATGATTCTTCACATTAATGTTAATTTTCTGATTTGTTACCTTAACCATAAGTGCCGATATTCTTTCAGAAGTGTTATAAAACTGTGAAACACTGTGAATTAGTCTAACTGTCTGGATCAATCCTAATATAGAGTCTCTCATTTGCACCTTAAACAAAAATTAAAATTGTAAATAGTTCCATATATTTTTCAAAGACATCCGTGGACTATATTACCGGATCTTCTAAATATAAAGAGTGACAGTTCTTTTCAAGTGCTTGTATAAATTTGGCGTTATCCTTGGCTTCGTTGTAACAGCGTGTTATTTTGTGATCAGTTTCCTGCCATATTCTAAGAACCTTTGACCTTGCAAAAGTTAAGCACTGTATTGTGAGTTGAACTTCAGTTGCTTGCAAGTGACTGACTATTTGGGAAAATTTTGCGGCTCGCTTTTTCCAGTATTCCAACTCATCTTGTGGACCTAAATATTTAAAAATAATGAAATTCGAATGGACGATTAGTCGTTTGTTATAACGAATATTGTTTACCTTCTTAAATTGACCCAAACACGTATTTTCTAGATATTAGAGATTATTATGGTGGGGAATTGTCGGAAAATAATGAAAAATAGGATTTGGAAACATTAAAAGCGAATTTAAAAAATCAATTTATATTAAGAATTGGGTACCGAATTACGTTGGACAAACGATACAGGTAATTTCAAATAGACATAAAGAGCACATTGCTCATTTTAGATTTAATTGTTTTAAGGTAAAAGTAGTAAAATAATAACACAAGACTAATTGTAAATTATTTATTGATGATGTTGGTACCTACCCGAAGTATCAATTTCCCTTCTAATCTGCTCACTTTCTTTAAGAACATCCATTAATTTCTTTAGCCAATGCTTAACTCTATCTTCTAGTTCGTCGACAATATCTGACCTTTTCGCCATCTCTTTCACTTCATCAACGTTCAACCCGGTCAACAAACACTTTTCGTCATCGAAAACGTTTCTGTCCAAACAAACTTCTTCGCATACTGTAAAGTTTATTTTATCAGTTGGAAAACGAAATCATTGCAATTCTTTCTTTTTCTTTACCTCTTAATGCGCTACAGAATGATCGAAGTTGTGGCAAAAGTTGATTTTTAACAATTGGATAAACCAAAGCCTCTTCTTCGACTTCTAAATTGGGATGTGCTAAGGCTTCCATGTAAACACATTCTATCATACGCTCGACGGATGTTATCATGCCCACCTTTTCAGCGTCAATAATTCCGCAGTACAGGTCCTACAAAAAACGAAAATTTCGTCCAATATTTTTTGCTACAAATGGAAGCTCAATAGTAGATCCACAACCCGAGTCGAAAAATTGGGACTCATTTTATCCTCAAATGAACTATTTAGACTCATTTTTTCCTCATTTAGACGTTTTTAATCTCAGATACCTCAATAAGTTTTCATAAAACTCATCACATTGGATTCTAAAAAGTCTCATTTTATTCTCAATGTCTGCAATCCTATGGCAATAGTCCTCAATTTAACCTCAACAAGAAAAGAATGAGACTTTTTGAAGACAAAATGAGGTTTCCTAAATAATCTTTACTCCTCAAAAGTCTCATTTTGTCCTGATACGGGAAAACCGCGGATAAAATGAGACTTTTGAGTCTTGTAGTTTGAAATATCCCTAAAAATTCTATTGAGATCAAATGAGGACAAAATGAGTCCCAATTTTTTGACTCGGGAATATTGTACTTTTTCACGCTTTAACTAGTCAAAGTATAATAATGAAATCTTGTAAACATATTGTGAAGGGTTCAGAAAAGAACATAGGACATCTCTTATCCACAAAAGAATACTGTTCCTGAGGGATAGAAGAATTGGCTTTATGTGATTGTCGGTGATTTTTGACGCGTATTTAGGATATGAACACGAGCGAAGCCGCGGATAAAACCTATCATGAAATTTTGTACATACATTTCCAGGGGTACAAAAAAGAACATAGAGTACCTTCTATCCAGAAAATAGATATTGTTCCCCAGGGATAGGAAAATTAGTATTATGTGGTCGTCGATTATTTTCGAGACCTATTAAGGGTAAAACTTCTCTTGAAATCTTTTACACATTACATTTAAGACATTAAAGGAAGCGAAGCCGCGGTTAAAACCTCATCATCATAAGGTCGTCAGTTCTAAGACTGGTTAGACATGCACCTCCACTCCTTCCTATCCTGAGTTAATTTTCGCATTCCCCTAAAACTAGAACATCCTACATCCTTAACTATTTGCGAACAGTATTCTAATCTAGGTCTACCTCTACTCCTTCTAACTCCCGTTTCTGCCTTTAATATGTCTCTAACTAGACCTTCATGTTTGAGAAGGTGTCCTACCAACCCAAACCCAAACAACACCCAAACATTTAAGGACTTGAATCGTTTGCTTTTACGACATTCCCTGCATCTTCTTCGTTTTCCTTTAAACGAAATATGAAGTTTTCGTCTGTTTTATTCGTGATTTATTTTAGAACAAACAAAATAGCTCAAACTCCAACACCAAAACACGACACTTTTCTTGTCCGAAGCACTTTTTGGTAACAAGGTTACCTTCTTCAGGGACTGAAACGAACTGTCCTTGAAAAAGGTAACCGAAAAGTGCTTCGGACAAGAAAAGTGTCGTGTTTTGACGTTGGGGTTTGAGCTATTCTGTTTGTTCTACAACAACCGCCAAAGTCTTTCCAATCATCATTATAAGGTCGTCAGTCCTAAGACTAGTTGGACACGTACCTCCACTCTTTCCTATCCTGAGCTAAACTTCGCATTTCCCTAAAACTAGAACAACCCACATCCTTAACTATTTGCGAACAGTAATCCAATCTAGGTCTACCTCTACCCCTCTTAACTCCTGTTTCTACCTCTAATATGTCTCTGACTAGACCTTCATGCCTAAGTAAGTGTCCTACCAACCTATCTCGCCTATCGCCAATCATTATGTTTCATGATTTATTGTTTAATAATATAAATAACCTTGTGAAATCCTTCTTCAGGCAATTGCTTGCTGTCATTAAGTCGAAAAATGTATATGCAAATTCCAGTCAATGGAACATCCCATCCATCTGTGAGAAACAGCTTCTTTTTTCTAGCAGGGGCTGAAACTGAGGGTCCAACTTGACTACGGCTGAGACTTGACTGAAGTTGACGACTTGTACTGGGTTTACTTATGTCATAATCTTTTTGTTCAACAGTTTCCTCAACCTCTTGGTAAAACCACATAAGTTTTGTTTTCATATGTGGCAGAAAAATTTGATTTATTTCATCCAACTAGAATGAAAAATATTAGTGTCACTTACAAGTGTAATATCATGTTTCTCTACTTCTTTCAATTATGGTAATTTTTTAAGTAACTTTTCTAGAGCTGGTTCTAAACTGAAAGTAAAATCTGAAGCTCTAGGACTCCAGGCAATTAAAAATGTTTTATTTTATTGTTACTACTATATTTCAGTGGACTAAATTATGTTGTAATTAATTAATGTTGTAGATTGCAAAGTAAGTACAGTAGAACCTCTATAACTTGAACATCAAGGAAAACGCCAAAAATTAGAGTTTTCGACTTTTGGAGGATTTTGACTTAGGCGGAGTTTGATTCGACTTGTCGATGTTAAGATTTGGTGTACTTACATTGTCGGCAAATCCTTTATAACAGTTTTCTTTGAACTATAGACGCAATAAGTTTGAAATTATTGAGTTCTAAAGGTTGTAAAATAAAACATTGCTATGTTCAAGATACAGAGGTCCAATTTAGTTATAGTATATAGTTTAGTTATAGTGTATATATGAGTTATAGAGAGAAAATTTGTACGAAAATAGCTTGCAGGGACTTACTGATTATTTCGACTAACAGAGAGTTGAGATTTCGAGTAATGGAGGTTTTGGGGCTTGAAGGAAAGGGAACAATTTTTTCGAGTTTTGGAGGTTTTTGACTTATCTAAGTACTTCTTAAAAAAGCTCTACTGTATAAGCATGACTTAAAAATCGAATAAAATTTTAAAGGAAGTTTTACCATGTTTCCTTCAAATACATTATCCATTATCTCTTGACGGGGAAGTCCAGTAGCGTCCATTATGAGCTGAAATGTAAATTCCAATCGGGGATCCATTTCCCCTCGTCTTGCTTTTCGTTCGCATTCTTCCCTTCGTCGCTAAAGTTTTGAAATACTAATTTTAGGCCTTTTAATGATAGTATAATCAGCGACGTAAAATATCAAACATAATAAATTTCCTAAAATATTTTATTATGCTATGAAAATATTTATTAATGGTTAATGCAGTCACTAATAAAGTTGAATCAGACAAGAAAAAAAAACAGAGAATTATTTACATAATAAATAACACCAAATGTTTCAATTAATTTCAATAGATTTGTTTAAACTTTATTCTTTCATGTAAAATACTTTGCGCAAAATGAACGAACAAATTAAAGTCTATGAACGAGAAACTAAAGCAGAAATACCTACCTATCTGTTACAAAAAAAATTGCATTTACTTAAACAAATATAAAATATATTAGTAGAATTATGTTATTATTTTTTATCTGTACCGCAAGTAAAACCAATGGGTCTGCATTTTCTGAATCTTCTTCAACTTCTGTATCCGAATCTTCCCGACAATTATAAGGTCCATGGACGAACATGATTACTCTTTATAATATATCCCCAAAAAGTAACTCACATTAAAATCACCGCACTGCAATAATTATTTACTTATTTCACATTCACCAATTATTATTTAATTTATTTTCTGGTACTTCATGTTAGTAAAACTATTTTGCTTCGCGTTAATGGTACGTATTGTCGACATTATTCGTAGCATTTTGGAAATAATAATTTCGTGACAAGATTGTGTAAACAACAACTGTACCTAACACGAAAATCCGTAGATTTTTAAGATAAAGCTGTAATAACTTTTCAAGAACACTTAAATATGCACGTTACATACAAAAATTGAAGTAAAGGTACTCCATATACATTATTTCTTGTAATATAATCTGTTTTTAACACTTTAACATTACTAGAAATTATTTTATACTACGAAGTAAATAATTCGAAAATATAAACAATTTTGAAAATAGTTGTTTGCTTCTTGCTTTCTACGTGCTTTAATTAAATTTTAATTGTAACAGTTAATTACGATACCTTTTAATGGTCGTATAGAAATAGAAAATATTTTGCAACATCCGATTGTAGAAAAATCATGGGTAGTCAATTAAAAATGTTCCACCAACTCTTAAATAAGAAGAAGTAGAAAAATGCTTCGTGTTAAGCACATATTTTCAATCAATTTTACTGTATTATTTTTAAATAAGTCATAAATACAGTGCTTTAAATGTTTCATAAATTCTATAGATTTTCGAGCGAAATTGGTGCCTTTTGAGGTCATACTAATGACGAAAAAGTTATTAAAAAATTTTGAAACAAAAATTTTTTGTTTCTGCAATCTCACGTAAGTATTTAAGGTTATTTTATCCTTAAAAACGGTTCATTCTAAACACTTTATTAAACTGCAGGAAGAACTTTTTTGAGTGAGATTTTTTATGAAAAAGCGGAAATTCTCTTATCTGTCCGATAGAAAACGCGATACTGCATGGCACGTTTGTAGAACAAACTGTTATTCGCGTCGACAAGAATTTAGAATGCCATTCAAGTGTTGTGGAACAATTACTTATTTTTCGGGCGTTCCTGGCACCAATATTTTACAAGGTGCGGATTCCTTAAATACCGGACTACAAACACAAAATCCTTTTACAAATGCTTTCCCGAAGGTTAATTAGTCTAAACATTTTCTCCTTATTCATAATAAAGCCGTCACAGAAATAACGAACGGATAATATATTTTTGATACTAAATAGGTAGACCAATCAAAGTTTTTAAATCATTGCCAGTTACATTAAGTTTATCTTGCTACAACTGTTTCCAAATTTCGATTTCATTTTTTATATTCGGTAAGTCGTAAAATTGGTTGAATATTTTGTGATAATTCTACCAAATTTTGCAAATGTTTCTCGTAGAATTGGTTATTTAAATATTTAATACTCATCTCTTTGTGCAAAACTAACTATTTCACGTTTAACTCCTGAACATTCGTTTAAAAATCTGATGAAAAAGTAATTCTTTTATTATTTTCAAGGGTGCAACATTTTTGACGGTGTGGATTCCTTAAATACAGGACTACAAACACAAAATCCTTTTACAAATGCTTTTAAAAGAAGGTTAATTAGTCTAAACATTTTCTCCTTATTCATAATAAAGCCGTCACAGAAATAACGAACGGATAATATATTTTTGATACTAAATAGGTAGA